TGTGAGCAGAGCTACAACACGGCCATAACGGCCTTCTCAAGGTTGTTGGAGTTCTGTTTCATTGTTTGTTTTTTTAAGTAGCGATTGCAAAGCATTCTTGTACTAACCCTCAATCACCTGCCAGCCTCACCCACCCATGCTAGAGGTGAGGCTGGCGCAGCCTAGGTGCCCAAGTGTAATTTCTTTATTTGATAAGTACAAAGATCAAGCTGAGATGATGGATGACTTAAGCAAGGTCACACTAAGTGGAGCCAAGATTTGATGAATAAGAAAGTAGTTCTGGACCACTATGCAAATTGCTGCTGGCAGTCCTTAGAACACAGGGTGAGTCCGGAAAAAAGAAGGAAGATTGCAAATTCCAACCCTCAGGCCTAGCCACACACAGAGGCTGGAACAAGGTTTTAAACAGGTGGAACTGGGGTGGCTCGGCCACCTACAGCCAGTCCCTCCCCCACTCCAGGTTTCCAGGACAAAAGCTCCATTAACATACACCTCTGCAGGGGGCGGCCTGGGGGCAGGGAGGATTCCACAGCCCCCACCCCACACTAAACCAGTCGTGTTTGGAGCCGAGAGAAATGTGGTCAACAGAGGGTCCAGTTTTGAGGGGGAGGCTCAGCCCTGAGGTCCACTTCACCCACATGAGAGCCCATACCCGGGGAAGGGGCAAAATGCAGACGCCTCTTTCTCCTTGCCCCCAGAGGCAGATGGCAGATTTACCCCATCTTGGTAGCTTTTGCTGCCCTCCTAGGGCAGGGCTCAGCGCAAGAGGCTGGCCACTCCACCCAGAGGCACATGGAGCCTGCATCCTTCTCCCAAGCCAAGGCAAAGTCCTGGGCCCTCTTGATGCCAGCCACGTCGCCGTCTAGTGAGTCGGCTGGCACCAGGATTCTCAGCACAGACCCGCAACCCTTCCACGGTTGCTGCAGTCCCTACCCCACCAAGACCTTGCGTCCCCTCTCCGTAGGCTCTCCCAGCTACTGCAAGCCAGGCTCACCTCCAACTCACCACTCAGGATTCCCAAGGCAGAGGCAGAGGTGTTGCGGGGAACTCAGGGGATTCCAGGGCCAGAGCTGGACTCTGCAGCCTTGGGAAAGACTCCTGGGAAATGGGACAGGAAGTTCCCAACCCCAGACTCCAGGTGTGCGGGGCTCCCTAGAGTTAACCCTTAACTGCCCTGCTTTGTAGAGGGTGGGGCCAGAGGAAGACAAAGGGATGAATCTGGATTCCAATCCTAGTAGTTGCCAGGGCCTGTCCTCCCTCCCCATACACACATCCACAACCCCCGTGCCCTCAGGGGTTTGTACCCCCAGGAGAGTTGCCACTTAGAGAATGCCTGTTCAAAGCCCGAATCCTTGCTCACCTGTTTGTTCCACGTGCCGGGTTCCCTTACAGGTGCTACAGGAGGGGAAGGAAGGCCTGGGTACTGGTGCAAAGAACTGGAAGGCCTGATGGAGAAGTGAGGTGTTGGTCCAACAGGCACCCTCCCAAGTCCTGGGAGTGGCTTTAAACAGGTCCCAGCTTAATCAAAGAAAGGAGGGGACTTGACATACCAACTCAGAGGTCAGACCCTCGGCCTTGGAGCACCCTCACCCCACTTTCAGGCGCCTGAGATGGAGTCCCACCGCCTGCTCATTAGTATGTTTGAGAGACAGCAGGTGATGGCCCAAGTAAGTGCTTGGGTGCTTGCCACCCACACGGGAGATCCAGCCCTGGCTGCTGCAGGCATTTGGGGAGTGGACCAGCACATGAAGATCGCCTTCTCCCTCTCTGTAACTGCCTTCCTAATAGGTAAAACGTAAAATCAAGTCCTTTCCTTTGTGTCTACGGCGGTAGCCTGGAGGCTGCTCTCCTTGGGGATCCCGGGCGCGCACCCCGCCTCGCCCCACTTCTGAAGCACCGAGACCTCCGAGTCTGTCCGGCCTCTGTGTCAGGGCCAGGGTCCTAGTGCAGGTAGCCGCATCTATCTTGTTCCTTGATTTTAACGTTATCTGCAGGGAAGGCTGTTCCCGTTCCTTCTGTGTCCTCCGCGCCCGGACGGACAACCAGGATGAAGGGGAGCGGCTCAGGCATGCCTACTTTTTGCGGTGGGGGAAGCGAGGCACTTTGGGCCATGAGCCCCCCGCATCACGAAACTCCGCCCACCAATATGCTACTTCCACCACGAGATTCCTCCCCGCCCCGAGGGAGGCGGGTCCAATGTGCGGGGGCGTGGCTTCCACCGCCAGGGACGTGGGTGGACGGCTCTGGGAGAGCATCTGTGGGTCTGAGGACCGCCAGCCCATCCTCTCCCAAGCTCCGTCGTAGGGAGGGGGCCCGGCTGCTCCTCAGCATGCTTGTGGAGGGATGGGAAATGGGTGGAGCGGGTGGTCCCCTGGCCCTCCGGCCCCTCGTCCAGGCTAGACTCGCACCTGTGCGTTGCTACGCATCCATGCCTGGCTCGGACCCCTGCCAGTCCCCCAGGCAGAAAACATGGCCAGATATCTGATTCCTTGGAAGCTGGGGCAGCTGGGCTGCGAGCTGCAGGCCCTGTGTCTAACGACCTGAGAGGAGGAAGGGAGGAGATGGCAGAGCATCCCTGGGGTCCAGTTCAGAAACCAAAGAAACAGCTCTCCACACGCTGGAGGACTGGGCAGCAACTCCAGCGGCTTCTAGGTGCTTGGTGGAACCTGTGGGACAATAGGGGCACTGATGTTTGCTGAGGTTGGGGTATTGGCAGCATCTGGCCTGGCCGGGGCAGGCTGGGTTTGACCTAGGACCCGGTGGGCGCAGCCCTCCAGGGTCCAGCTGCAGGTGACCTGCATCATTTCTCCTCAGAAAATCACCATTGCCTCCTTGTTACTGAGTGGGGATGAGGCACCAGCGTCTTGAGAATTTCCTTTGGAAATATCTTGTTGCCCACTGCTATAATCTAAAATGTTCTGATAACCTTTGTTCAGAAGGACACAGGAAACAGGGGAAATTGATTTTAATGGTGAAGTTTAATTTTTGCCCATTAATGTTACTTCATGCATGTTACCAGTATGTGCATGTCACGTCAGGAGTCTGAAGTCGATGCAAATGCGTAAGGGTAGTTTATTTAGGCCAGACTAGGCTCCCAGCCATCACCCCAGCGCAGGAGGACTGGGGGGCTGCTGCAGAAGCAGAAGGGGCAGAAGAAGGACCAAGGTTGGACAGCACAGGATTTTTTTACACATTTCTGGCTAATTCCACACTATTACACAGTCATGGTTGGTCAGTTTAGCTGTTAATTAAAAAAAAATTATTTTATTTTTGGGCCTGGCGCCGTGACCTAGCGGTTAAAGTCCTCACCTTGAACATGCTGGGATCCCATATTGGCGCTAGTTCTAATCCCAGCAGCTCCACTTCCCATCCAGCTCCCTGCTGGTGGCCTGGGAAAGCAGTTGAGGATGGCCCAAAGCCTTGGGACCCTGCACCCGTATGGGAGACCTGGAGGATGTTCCTGGCTCCTGGCTCCTGGCTTTGGATCTGTGCAGCACCAGCCGTTGTGGTCACTTGGGGAGTGAATCATTGGATGAAAGATCTTCCTCTCTGTCTCTCCTCCTCTCTGTATAATCTGACTTTGTAATAAAAATAAATAAATCTTTAAATAAATTAAGATGTAACTGCATAGAAACTTTGATGTTAAGTTTGTATTCAGCTGTTATATATGATGGATGTTAATGTTGATCCTTTTAAAAAAATAGTGAAAAGCATGAAACAAACATGACCGCATCAAAGAACAATAAAATAAAATAAAGCTTCCTCCTTCCTCTGGAAAAAAAAAGTAAATAAATCTTTTAAAAAAATTATTCTAATAAGGATTTATTTTGTGGGGGCGGGGGCTGTTGCGGAGGCGCATCAGCTAGTCCTCAGCCTGCAGTGCTGCCTCCCCAGGCCCCGCCTCCCAGTGCAGCCGCCTGCTGATGCCCTGAGAAAGCAGCAGTTGGGTCAAGTCCTTTGCCCCTGCCACTCGCATGAGGGACCAGGGATTGAACTGGCTCCTGAGTTCTGGTGTTACCCAGTGGATGGAAGATCTTTGTGTTTGTTTCCGTCTTACAACTAAAAGGAAAATAATAATTTTTTTAAAGATTTATTTTTATTGGAAAGTCAGATTTCCAGAGAGGAAAAGCAACTAAGCTTTTGTTAAAAAAAAAAAAATAATAATAAGCCCATGCAAGGACCCTGGTGCACAGTGTGCCTGGCTTGCCAGATGGAGAGGTGCCCACAGGGCAGTGACTTCCACAGGCAGTAGCTGGCAGTGTTTCCTGAACACACCTTCCAGGACCTGACTCTGCTGAGTTCACTCCCTTACACTCAACCCCATGGCACACTGGTAAGTGAGGTGCAGTCTCCCACCTGCCCACCTTGGGCCTGAGCGGATGGAGCTGCTGAGGATCTGAGAGCCTGTGGAGGGCTGCCTGCCTCTCCGCCCCTCTGCCCCTGAGCTGAGAGGGTCCGGCCGGCCGATGTACCCATCTCTGAGGATTGGGCTCCAGGATCCCCTAGCCCGTTTCCCCTGTTCCTTCTTGAGAGAGCATTCTCCGGCTTTAAGGGGATCCAGGTCTTGGCTGGTAAATGAATGCCAGGTCCCTGCAGGGAGGCCTTACATCCCATAGACACTGGTCCTGTCCATTGCCCCCAGCTAAAATGCCCATTCTCCTGTGGGGTGAAAGCCATGCCATAAAGTTACAGTATCTTTCCACAGCATGCATCTCTTCCTTTTCCTGTTTTACTGGGATCATTGAGTGTGTGCTAAGTATAGCCACGGGCATGAGCCTGTTTCGCAGACCTGAGGGTCAGTTTGTCATCCAGAGCCGGTGCAACCTCTACTGAGGACCCCAGGCCCGGAACCCTCAAAGCCAGGAACCCTATTGGGCTGCAGCTGCACGGGGGAATGGGATCAGGGAGGGACTTCCTGTTGTCCCTAATCCCAGTTTCCACCCGGCTCCCCCACCCACCCCTGCAGGCTGCGGAGACTGCCTTCCCAGGGGAGGGGCTCCCTGCTGCCCCAGGTTCCGGCTCTGCCTCCACTCTGGTGAGCAGAGGATGCTGGGGAGGGACCCTGGATGTTGAGACTGCCACAGCAACCTGCGTGCAAGGGGAACGGGGTCTAAGGTGGAAGCTTCAGGCTGGCGGGAGAGAAGGGAGCCTGAAGCTGGGTTTGGGAAGGACACTCCCGCCTGAGTGAGGGAGGTGGGGGTGCAGTGCCAGGGAGGCAGTTGCTGGGAGTGGATCCCACATGGGGCGCAGAGTCATGTGAGTGGACCTGGGACAGGTGGCCCTCCCTCCCAGCACCCTTCGAAAGCATTGCCTGCAAGAATTGCTGTTTGCTGTGTAATCCCAGCTTTCCCTACGGGCTATGCTGAGATGTGGGGCTCTTGCTTCGGGGGGGGGGGGGGCGGTCATACAAAACAGGGATCTTCCCACAGGAGGTAGTGAAACTGTGGAAGAAACACCTCATTTGATTTTCCTGATCTGACAGCAAAGATGTCTGCAGATGGTGGCGGCAGCCAGGCTGCCTGGGACCTGGAGGGGTCCCAGCAGGTATGACGGGGGCTCTGGTGAGGGGGGCACATGCCGCGGAAGGGGGGCGGTCAGGGCAGGCTGTGTGCACCCTGGGAGAGGAAGACTTGCTGTGGTTGGCACTGACCAGGAGGTGGCATGATGGGAACTACTTGATGGGCTGGAATTTGCCATACAGCTGTTTAGCTTGACTTGTTGAATTCTGTCTTCAGTGGCCTGGAGGACAGCACGGGGGCTCCCTGGCGATCTGATGGGTAGGCATGTCTGTCTGAATAGTGCCCAGGGCACACAGAGAGGCCTCATGCCACCTCCCTAGTCCCTGTTACCTGGGACTGTATCTATCGCCTCATGTCTTGCAGTGTGAGCTCTCAGTCCTTCCTGCACCATGGCTGTGTGTGTGTGTGTGTAATTACCACCTTCAGGGAGTGTGTGTGTGTGTGTGTGTGTGTGTGTGTGTGTGTGTAATTACCACCTTCAGGGAGTGTGTGTGTGTGTGTGTGTGTGTGTAATTACCGCCTGCAGAGGGAACCCAGGTCTGCAATCTTAGAGCCAGGAATCTGAGTCAGCTGCGGGCCAGGTATGTCATCTGTGAGATGTGGGCCATGCACCTGCTGCCCACCTGCCTGGCCAGGTCCTTAAGGAGCCTGAAGGAAAGGACTGGGTCCAAGAGGCTGTGAGCAACAGCCCGTGATGGGCTGTGACTGATACAAGGAATGAGAACACCCACAACAATAGGAAAGCAATTGAGGACGGCCCAAAGCCTTGGGACCCTGCACCCATGTGGGAGACCAGGAAGAAGTTCCTGGCTCCTGGCTTTGGATCGGCGAAGCACTGGCTGTTGTGGTCACTTGGGGAGTGAATCATCGGAAGGGAGATCTTCCTGTCTCTCCTCCTCTCTGTATATCTGCCTTTCCAATAAAAATAAATCTTAAAAAAAAAAAAAAGGAAAGAAAGAAAAGCAATGAGAGAGAATTGATTGCTGGTTCACTTCCCCAAGTGCCTATAACAGCCAGGATGGGGCCCAGGCCAGGTCCAGATCAAGATGCAGGAACTTCGTCCCAGTCTCTCTTGTGGATGATGGGGACCCAGGTGCTGGGGCCAACCTCCACTGCCTGGGGATGCCTTGGCCTTGCCTTATGGTGGCCTGGCATGAGCCTTGTGTTTTGAGGTATGTCCACCAGGCAGGGGATCTACCCCTGCAGCCTCTGGGCTTTGCAGCTCCAGGGGTTTCACCCACTCTCGCTCCAGTACTTACGGGGACTATCATTGCTAGGAGCTCAATCAACAAATGCAGTCTGGGCCAGAGGAAACAGTACCTTTGGGAGCCACTGGGGAGTCGCCACACATCAAGGTGGAGCCTGAAGAGTTGTGTCCTGAGGAGGCCTCCAAGGAGGGCATGCAGGGCTGGGTGCCTCTGAGCCGTGGCTCTCAGGAGAAAGCCCTGTTTCTGCCTGGTGCAGGTAGGCGAGGGCCCAGAGAAGGCGTTCCCCGGGAAGGCAACTGTGGCTGAGCCCAGGGGAGGCTAAAGGTCCTTACCTTGGAGGGAAGGGGGCCTCTCGCTGTAGTCAGGGGAGCCGGGCAGACTGAGACAAGCCCAGGTCTGCCCACCTGACTGTCCACCATGTCCTCCACAGCCTAGAGCGCTTGGCCTCTTCCTGGGTGGGGCCGGGGTGGGATTAAAGGCAGCAGTGATGCTCTCTGTGGACGCCTTCCTCCTGCAGCCCTGCCCTCCCCCCTGCTCCCCGTGCTCTCCCGTGAGGGGAGGACCAGAGACCGGCAAATGGCCGCCGCACTCCTCACCGCCTGGTCCCAGGTGAGCAACCACCACTGTCTCCCATTTACTCCAGGGACCAGGCAGGGCACTGATCTTGGCCCCTAAGTGGTGCCCAGCGCCTCCTGCAGCACTGGCCCTATTTGTAAAGCGGGTCCCTATCAAATTTCCCGGTTCCCCTCGGCCCCACCCATGGCTTGGAGGCGCAGCCCGTGCTCTGGTGGCCATGCTGGAACTCCCCTGTCCTGGCTCAAGGCCCAGTCAGACCAGGGCAGGCTGTAGGAAATGCGTAAATGCAGATTTTTTGAGGGTCTCCCACTGTGACTCTGGGGTCTGAGCTGAATGTGGAGCTCCTGTGCTTTGGCTGTGGTCCCTGAAATTCCGCTTTGTCCCCCTCCCCACTTGACCCCTAAAAAGCCAGATTGAGTGGATGGCTCCCCACCTCAGCAGGCAAACCAAGGGGCAGGCCTTACTGGGGACAGCAGGGTTGGGTGGTGGGTCTTGCCGTGTCTGGGCCCCGCTGTGCCCCTCCACAGCGTGTCCTGTAGGGTGGCCATTTTGTGTTCAGATGCCAGTGACTTTTGAGGACGTGGCCCTGTACCTGTCCCGGGAGGAGTGGGGTCAACTGGACAACACACAGCAGGACTTCTACAGGGATGTGCGACAGAAGAGGAATGGGATGGCCTTGGGTAAGGGCTTGTCCTGGGGTTGCTCCCTCCTGCCCCTTCCCCATCTCCTGCATTACTCTCCAGAACTTTCTACAGTGTCTGTGTGGGCATGGGAGCTGCTAGCCCAGTGTGCCTGTGGAGCTCCTAAGGTGTGGCCAGAGCAGCTCAGACTCCAGTCTAGCTGCCACGTGTGGCTGCCACGGTAGGTTCCTCTGAGGGTAAGCGTTGAAGTCCTAGGCCTTTTGATTCCCTTTTAGATTCATTTTCTGGGCAGCTTGTTGTGAAGACTTATGTTGAAACAAAACAGAAACCAGTGTTGGCATCCAGGCCTTGATTCAGTATTCAGCCAGGCACATCTGTGCGTCCACACAGAACCGCCAAGGGCCTGGCAGTTCTGCCTGTAGCCACCCTGGCAACCTCCAGTCCCCTGCTGGATCATACCATCTGCCCCACCCAGCCCTTTAATTTTCCCTGTTTTTTTCACCAATTTGCTAATGCTCCCCAGGACTGAGGGGCATGTCCAGGCATGTCCCAGGAGATCAGCTGGGGGACTTGGTACATGTGTCCAGGTGCAGGAACCACTCTGGGCCCAAAGCCTTCCTTTCCTCCCCATGGGTCTTGGAGGTCTGCTGCTGTCTTCCTGACCTGGCCACAGCTCCCCGCAGTGCTCACATGGGGCCTTGGTCCCTGACTTCCTGGTTGTCAGGTTTTTGGCCTGTTTGCCTGCCTGCCCTGTCCCGTCCTGTCCCTGCCCTTGCTGGGCCCACCACCTGGTGCTGTTGCCAGAGGGAGCTGTCTTCCCCTGACCTGGCCCAGCTCCCCTGTGTTGAGACAGACAGAAGCATGAGCCCATCCTCTGGCTGAGACCCTGGGTCCAGGGGGAGTTTGGAGCCCACTTTGCCCACTGGCTCCGGGAGCTGCCCCCCTCTTTCATCTGGGATGGTTCAGCCTGAGTGCAGCCTGTGTTTCGCAGGCTTTTCCTTCTGCAGGCCTTTCTGCGCTGCCCACGTGCAGAGGAAAGGCGAGGCCTCCAGCTCTGGAGAGGAGAGAGACACATGTGCAGGTGAGAGCTCCTGAATCCTTGGCTTGTTCTGAGGGTGCAAACCCACTCCAGACCCCTCTTCTGTAGACAAGTCTTGCTTCCAGGGTCTCCCTCAGGGTCCTGCCCCTCCTCTCCCAGCATCCTGTTCTCACCTTTAGCCCTGCACCTCATATCCCTGCCAGTCCTTCTGCGACACCCTCTGTTTCTCCAGAACCCCTGGAGGCAGGGCAGGAGGCTTTTGCCCCCTTTGCGGCAGCCCCTGGCGACGTGAAGCCCTTCCGGAGCAGAGTGGCAGCCCCAGGGGGCATCCTGCAGGGCGGGCACAAAGCAACTGGTGGTCCAGGTGCCGCGGAGCCTGGTCCCCTTGAAGAGACACAGCCAAAGCCAGGCCAGAAGCCCCAGGAAGGCCATATCCACGAGAAACCCAGCGAGGAGAAAGGCATCTCAGAGAGTGGCGAGGATGAGCTGGGTCCTGACAGTGAGCTGGGCAAAAAAACCTACAGGTGTGAGCAGTGCGGCAAGGGCTTCAGCTGGCACTCACACCTGGTGACCCACCGGCGCACGCACACTGGCGAGAAGCCCTACGCCTGCACAGACTGCGGCAAGCGCTTCGGCCGCAGCTCACACCTCATCCAGCACCAGATCATCCACACCGGCGAGAAGCCCTACACCTGCCCAGCCTGCTGGAAGAGCTTCAGCCACCACTCAACCCTCATCCAGCACCAGCGCATCCACACCGGCGAGAAGCCCTATGTGTGCGACTGCTGCGCCAAGCGCTTCACGCGCCGTTCAGACCTGGTCACCCACCAAGGCACTCACACGGGTGCCAAGCCGCACAAGTGCCCCATCTGTGGCAAGTGCTTTACACAGAGCTCGGCGCTGGTCACCCACCAGCGCACCCACACAGGGGTCAAGCCCTACCCGTGCCCCGAGTGTGGCAAGTGCTTCAGCCAGCGCTCCAATCTCATTGCCCACAACCGCACACACACGGGTGAGAAGCCCTACCACTGCCTTGATTGTGGCAAGAGCTTCAGCCACAGCTCGCACCTCACCGCCCATCAGCGCACGCACCGTGGCGTGCGGCCTTACTCCTGCCCATTGTGTGGCAAGAGCTTCAGCCGGCGCTCCAACCTGCACCGGCACGAGAAGATCCACACCACGGGGCCCAAGGCCCTGGCCATGCTGATGCTGGGTGCTGCAGCGGCAGGGGCACTGGCTGCACCTCTGCCTGCCCCCACCTAAGAGGCCAAGACAGGGACTGGGGGGACCTGGGACTGCCCAATTGGAGTTAAGGTCCAGAGAGGAGTGAGGGCCTTGACACCTGGTGGACAGGGGCATGGGCTGGGAGCTGGGGAGGAACGGGCCATGGGGTGGGGCATGGAGACGAAAGTGGAGTGAGGTGCAGCAGGCCCTGGTGGTGTACATTAAAGGCCTTGGAATTCCTGCGATGGCCACAGCTGTCTCGTTGAGCCCTGCAGGACAGGGGGCTTCTGGGCTAAGCTCCACAGACCCTGAATTGTCCCCTGAATCTTCTAGGGTTTGGGTGCCTTTACTTAACTAAGGCTGGTCTCAGAGTGCTGGGGCCACAAGTCTACCAACAGGCTTAAGTACCCGGGTTCAGAAGTGCACATCCTGCTGGCCACTTTTGAGATCAGGGGCCACCGTTGGGCTCTTGTTGATGCTGGTTCCAAGGGGCACACCTGGACTCGGCCCTCTCTGGGCACCAGGAGTAGGGAAGGGCCCATATTTCCCCATCTCAGGTACTATCTCAGAGTTCTGGTCCATTTTGCAGCCACCGCCTCCTCTCTGCTGCCTGACACCTTCTTGGCACCTTGGCATATGCCCTTCCTAATTTGCCCCGCCTGTCCTTCCTGGCTGTTTTATTCCTGGTCTTCCACTGGCTTTTACCTTCTCTGGTTCCCATATCCCAATCTTATTTCACATTCCCCACCTCCCCAAGGGATGGGCTCAGTCTCTAAGAGGACATTCAGCCTGCCACCAGCTGACCGCTGGACTGCATCAGGGAGGCTGGATAGCCCATCCAGCTCCTGGATCCCAGGGCGCCTGGGCAGCCATAGCCCCAGCTGCTCCCAACTGTGCCATGGCTCGAAGTCGGCAGATGTCAGACAGAACCACAGTTACAGCTGCTAGGCAGGGGGACAGAGCTGGTCTAGATGGCATCTCTGCTCTGCACGGCTCTGGCTCTGACCAGTAGAGAGGTTAGCAAGGGGAAGCCCAGAGAGGAGCCCAAGACCCTGCCCAATGTGAAACACCTTTGACCTTTGACCCACATGCGGGCACAGTGTCCCTGGGACACTGGGCCTGTTACCTAGTGAGGGGAGGGGCATGGAGATAGCTGGGCACCAGGGACCTGCTGCCAGGTGGGGGCAGACAGGATGTGTGAGGGGGCTCAGGACCTGCTGAAGGGGGACAGGCAGAATGTGAGGTGTTGGGTCGCTGGCTGTAGGGGGAAGGGCAGGATGTGGGGTGTCTGAGAGGGCTCGCTGGCTGCTTTGCTAGTTATTTTTTGAGTAATCCAGAAAGGAAATAGATGCTGCCTTTGCATGGCCCCAGTGGTTCAGCCATAGTTGGACTTTCCCCACTGGACTCTCGGCCTTTTTTTTTTTTTTTTAAGATTTATTTTATTTTTATTGTAAAGTGAGATATACAGAGAAGAGGCGAGATGGAGAGGAAGATCTTCCAGCCAATGTTTCACTCCCCAAGTGACTGCAATATCTGGTGCTGTGCCGATCAGAAGCCAGGAGCCAGGAACTTCTTCCAGGTGTCTTGCATGGGTGTAGGGTCCCAAGGCTTAGGGGTGTCCTGCTTTCCCAAGCCACAAGCAGGGAGCTGGATGGGAAGCAGGGCTGCTGGGATTAGAACTGGCAGCCATATGGGATCCTGGTGCATTCAGGGTGGGGACTTTAGCTGCTAGGCCATGGTGCTGGGCCCTCAGCCTTTTTTCCTACTGTAACTAACATACCTGGGAGTAATGGAGACTTGTGAAATGCTACCAGGCACCGCAGAGTACAAACTTGCACCAGGGATATTTTTGCTTTCTGGCTGTGTTGCCAGTCAAGTGGCAGGACTTGAAGCATTCAGAGGTCTGGAAGATGACCCAGGGAGCTATAGACCGCCCTCACTGTCTCCAGGGAGCTCAGAGATCAAATTATCCAGAAAGTTTGTCCTGCCTCAGCAGAGTCCACAGGCGCCTGGCTCCATTAGCTATGCCCACAGGTCACCCTCCCCCGACCGCCTGTGCTTAGGTACCCTTCCAGAAATTACTATTCTGGGACAGATCTGGTGGGAAGCATTTGTTAAGATCAGAACCGGGCAACCTGACAGACACTGGACAAGAGCTCATGGAGTTGTGTTGTGGAAAGGCCTCGCTGTCAGACCGGGCAGTGCTTGCCTGCTGCTGGGTGGAGGGGTTCAGAGAGCAGAAGCACACCATCATGGCACCTCTGGGACGAGGCTCAGGGGTTTGCCTTGGCCTGCCACGGGGTCCTGCTCCCACTTTACACCCTGCTTCTTGGCCTCTGCGTGAGCCTGACCATACTGAGTTACCGTGCACCTGTGCTGTCGGCAAGAGGGGAGGAGGAGGGAACGGTGTGCCTCCATCCCTGCTCCCACTCCCTTCCCTGCAGCCTGTGAGGGCCCTGGCTTGGAGCTTGCCTAGCTGCCCAGCAGGACCGGATCAGCCATTGCACTAGACTGCATCCCTCAAGCCTTGTTCTTCCAGCCGTCCCCAGCCAATCAGGCATCGTGATGCAGTGAGGGGACGGATCTGGCAGAACTGGCCAATCATGGTTGACATTTGTGCTCCTAGGTCCTTCCACGCTCCAAGCCTTACGGTTGCCCAGGTAACTGCTCTGGGCTTACCACTAGAAACTCCTCACAGCATGAATCCACCACGCCAAGGTAGCCTTTGTGGGGCTTCCTCTGAACCGCCGAGCCTCCTCCCTCTGGCAGAAGGCGAATGTTGTGCCAGATTTCTGAGATCCCCAGAAAATCATCGAGTCTGAAGTCTGTGGTAAGGGATAAAGGCGGTTTATTCAGGTTAACTTGGTTCTCCCAGCCACCCGAGGCTGCAGCAGGAATAGCAGGGCAGAAAGAGAGAAGGGCCGAGGTTCAACAGCACAGGGTTCTTATACATTTCAGGACAATTCCATATAATTATAGTCATGATTGGTCAGTTTTAACTGTTAACTTTCAAAAAGAGCAATTTGGCATGCTTCTATTGGTGGGTTTGAAGCAAGCAACTTTCAAAAGGCACAAACGGATGGGCTATAGGGCAGTGGGTCTTATCTAACACCAGGGACCTCCTTCCTGAGGAGTGCTCTGCCTACGTGACTGCCAGGTGTCCTGCCAGATGTCACGTAGTAGGCTTCAGGCCTGGAGTTCACACAGCCCCTAGCCAAGCAAGTAAGGCAGAAATCACAAAAGCAGGAAAGACCTAAGTTCTTCACAACCACATCCGAGCCCCTGCTAGAGGCCCTGGAGGCCGCTGGGAGCTCAGGGGGACCCTGGCATTCCCGCTCGGGTCTTCTTGGCTCCTAGCAGCAGGCAGCTGGGACTGTTGGACGAGAGGCTGGCGTGGGTTTGGCCACAGCCGTGGGGGAAACGTCCAGGGAGGAGTCTGCAGGGTAAACTGAGACAGGCTGTGAAGGAGGTTATGGGGGTTGCTAAGCGAGAGGGGTCCAGTGGACCTCACATGTAGGGCTCTACTGTGTCCATTTTTTCACTTGCATTCCAGGTCCTTGGCTAAATGATGGCATAAGTGAGAGAAAGCCGGACAAGGTGGTCTCTCTTGTGGACTCCCAGGTTGCAAGGGCTGAATGACACACCCGATAGAAGAATAGGGGAAGAGGCAGAGGATCATAGGGATCCCTGGTGGCCAAGGTCCCTGTGAGGAAGGGATAGTTCACCTGAAGGGTGACAGGTCACCATGAAACCCATGTTCGTTACTTGAAAACTCTTCAAGTAAAGGGACTAGGGCACATTAAAGCCCTACCTGCAGGAGCACATGGGTGACCACGGAGCTGAAATGACATCCAGGGTATGGCTGCTGGAGCAGTGGGACCCATCTGGGGCTTTGGCCTATGGATGATGGGAAATGGGGTGGGGCTGGAAGGCCTCTCTGTCTCGAGGACTTGGGGTCAGGCGGGCCTGGCCGAGGTCTCTGGGAGGACTGTTTCTCTTCTGCACTAGCAGGCCTGCCACGAAGTGAGCAGAAACTAAACTGTCAAACCTTTCAAAGGTTCAAAAGGTCCTCCTGAGGCCATCACAATTAAACCCAGGCTGCCCACTGCTGGATGACCAGAGATGAAAGCTGACTCCAGGGAGCAGGGTTATTCAGGGGCTCCCGGGGAAGACAGGTGTCCTCTGGAGCTAAGTGTCTGCTCTTAGTTTGCAGGTTAGCAGCAGGGGGACTTCTACAGGAGGGGGAAAGTAATGGGTCTCACTGGTTGTGGTCAGCCTTGTCCCCTAAATTCCCATCAACCTGGCTCAGGGGGAGGAGGTGCACCTCGAGAATGAGTGGAACCAGACCCATGTCCTACAGGCCTTGGGTAGCGGCCACCACCCTGGGTAGCTGGGCTGCTCCCTCTGCTTGCCAGGTGTCTCCATGGCATGTTTCAGGCCTCCTTCTTAACTAAACAGTGCCATAATTTTGGTGTGACATCTTCGTGGAGGCTCTGAACTAAGTGGTCACTGCAACACGGTGACCTCACAATTACAACTTATAGCAGAGTTCCCGGGTTACTGTCCAGTGGCCCTGCTGCCAGGGCCAACCAGGTATGGAAGGCAGAGGCAAGCACTTCTTCCAGCTGTCCGTGAGGGTTTCTGGGACTCAGCCTGCATCATGAGCTGAGTGGAGGGATATAAACTCTCATAGTAGACATTCAAGTGCCCTCACAGCACTGTCTCCTGCTCTCGAGTCTGTAATTACTGCTGCATTGACCACAGGCCGCAGCCACATGCTTGGTACTTCCTATCCCCTTCAAGTATTGTGTCTTTGTGAATTCTGATATTATCACAAGGCCTTGTGCCACGTGGGGAGTGAACCAGTAGATGGAAGATCTCTCTGTCTTGCCCTCTCTGTAACTCTTTCAAATAAATAAGTCTTTAAAAAAGCAGTAGCTAGGGCCCAGAGTGATAGCATAGCGGTTAAAGTCCTCGCCTTGGGCGGGCCAAGATCCCATATGGGCACTGGTTCTAATCCTGGCGGTCCTGCTTCCCATTCAGCTCCCTGCCTGTGGCCTGGGAAGACAGTCAAGGACGGCCCAAAGCCTTGGGGTCTCCCACACGGGTACAGGGTCCCAAGGCTTTGGGCTGCACTCAACTGCTTCCCCAGGCCACAAGCTGGGAGCTGCACGTTCAAGGTGAGGACTGCTAATTTTTTTTTTTTTCTTTTTTCTTACGGGGAGTAGGACAGGCAGCTCCCAGGTAGGGTCTCCAGAGGATTTTATTGGGGCTCTTTGAAAGTGGTGGGATGTCCTAAGCAAGCATGCAAGTGCGCTTGCGCGCGCGCACACACACACACACACACACACACACACACACACAAAGATATCGATTATCTGCTTAAAGAACAAATTGGCTTCTGGAAAAGGGAAATTTGTTCAAGTGGCGGCTGCTGAGTGTGGCAGGGTTGGGCGCGTGGTACTGCAGCTGGAGAAACCTAGGCGGTGTACACGTGCCCAAGCTGCAGCCAACGGACTGTGGGCAGCGGCGAAGCTTCACGCACTGCCTTCACCTAACCTGTTCTTTGTGCTTCTGAAAATATGTTTTGTCTGTTTCCTGCTTTTGGGGCCAGATCACTTAGGCCAGCATGCCCTGCTAGCAACCCTTAGTTCCAGGAAACAATACTGCATGGTTTATTCACTCACTGTTCCTATAACTGTCTCCTGTGGTTGCCTGAGCTCACCCATTACCCCATGGCGGCCTCTCGTGGCTGTCCAACTCACCTAGTTCCTATGGGTGTATAACTCATTTTTGTATAAAAACCCATCTAACTCTTACCTTGGGGTCACCCTCTGAAGGAAAGGAGAGCTGACCCCAACCAGCTGGTTTACCTCCCTCCTTAATAAACTTTGATGTAACATGAGAATCCCGGCCCTGGATCCCTCTTTACCACTCAGTGAAACGTGGAAGAGCACAGACGACGGAGCACGTCCAGCCACAAATCCTGGCCTTTCATCATAGGCGCCTGGTAATAGACGCTCACAGCATCGCTTTCTGCTGATTTGTTGGCTCTGAGAATTCTCGCTGTTCATTGGCTACGGGCTGGGGGAACGACAAGTCGCGAGTGAACGGCCTTCTGGGAGCTGTAGTTTTAAAGCCTTGACGTCCCGCCTGGTCTCCCGATTAGCCTCGCGCGGACTTCCGGCTCCTGTGGGAGGTGTGTGTCCGGGGGCTGGGCCTGGCGGGCTGAGGCAGCTTGGTTTCTAGGTCCGGGCGGAGACCGGAGACCTGAGGGGGCGTGCTCCGCGTCCGCCCGGGCCGGCCCCGCACCCTCAGCGCGCTCCCCGCTCCAGGGCAGACCCGCCACCTGCCCTCTCAGCCCCGGTCGCCTCCCGCCGAGCGACCCTGGTGAGTCCCTGGCCCTCTCTGAAGGGACTCTTCAGAGGAGAGAATGGCGCGCGGCACCCTCCCGGGGTTTTGTGAGGAGCAGGAAACTAAGTCCTTGGTGTGAAGTAAAGTGGACGCAAGCCCGACGAGGCTTGGTGCAGAGAGCGAAGCTGCACGTGCAGGGAACTCTCGCTGGCGTCCAAGCCCACATCCAGCACACTCCCCCGCCCACGCCTGTGAATACCGTTTTGGGAAAACTGCACAGAAAGGTCCACGCGCACGTCGTGGGTCACACTGGTGACAGGGACGGAGGACTCCGTTGAGGAGGAATGTTGTCTAAATATACCTCTTACCCTCTTAACGGCAATGGCGCGTGTCACTTTGGCTCATAGGCTAATCTTTAGTGTTGACATACTATGTGGGCGTTGGTTTGTATCCCAGCTGCTCCACTTCCATCCAGCTCCTTACTTATATCCTGGGAAAGCAGTAGAGGATAGCCTAAAACCTTGGAACCCTGCACCTGCATGGGAGAAGAGACCTGGAGGAGGCTCCTGGCTTTTCCAATCAAAATCTTTTTTTTTTTTTCCATTTTTAAATTATATTTTTGACAATCTTTACATAGTCAATTAGGGTAAAAAGGAAAGTGGGTTCGACCATCATTTCCATATTGTTTCCTTCATGTATCTGAGGTAAAGGGGGATATTGCGGGAGAAGCCCCACCCAGACTCCTACCTACCCCAGGTCCCGGATGTGTGGCATGCTCTGAGATTCTTGCTCAGGTGGTTTTGATAGTTCACCAGTAATGAATCGCTGCCAATCTTGCCACTCCAAGGATGATGGTCGTTGAAGAATCCACTGATTGACACAGTCCATCATAGAGTCTCCGTTTGTCCAGATTTTCACTGCCCACATATAGCTGAGTCCAATCAAAATCTTTAATCTTTTTTTCTAATTAAAACTCCAACATACAGTTTCTAGAAGACTTGTAAAGAACATGACCAAAGATGACAACGTATGGTACATCCAAATCCAGTTGTGGCTAAATGGCTTGGGGTAGTTTCTGTGAGCCCATCTCTGGCAGATGAATTTTGGAATACAGTTTTCAGAATTTGAGCAAGACACTACAGGCTCATGTGATCTATAAGATAAAATCTCCAGAGGAATTGAGGGCACCATTCAACCATCAGATACATTCATAGCATTTTTAACTTAATATACCGTATGTGCTGAAAATTGTACTGTGACTACAGCTCTGTGGTATTTTCCAAGTAGTTTTGCAGGTGTTACTGTTTGTATCACCTGAAGTGGGGTCTGCGGGATGTAACTATAGTCCGTCAGTTGTCAGTCCGGCCATGGGTTTGGTGGTGTGGCAGCACCCTGAGTGAGGTTAGGTGTTGCTACCATAGAAATTGGGCTGGTAGGCTGGGGGAATCGTGGGAGCAAGGTTCTATAGTAATGGTTAGTAAGGAGGGAAGCCCCTGTGGATGTCAGAGGTTGGAGACTGGGATGCTTGCAGCCTTGGGTTAACTAAAAAAATTGGTGGAAAAATTGAATTAGAAGTTTTTTATCTTGTTACAAACGGTTTTTAAAATTCCATACATAACTTTTTCTTTTAAAAAACATTTTATTTGTTTACTTGTAAGGCAGTTAGAGATGTCTTCTATCTTTTAGTTCATTCCCCAAGTGGTCATAATAGCCGGGACTGGGCCAGGCCAAAGCCAGGAATCTGCTGCTCCATCCAGGTCTCCAACTTGGGTGGTAGGGGTTCAATCACATGGTCCATCTTGCATTGCTTTCCCAGGCTCCCCCTCAGGAAGCTGGATTGTAAGTGGAGCATCTGGAACTGGAGCAGGCAGTCATGGGATGCCAGCATCACAGGTGGCGATTTAATCCACTGCACCAAGATGCTGGCAATGTTTTCATAGTATGTGTTTTCAATGAATTTCGCACTCTCATTCCACATCGCCTCCATTCTGTACCACCCCCATTCCACACCACCCCCTGTCCTACTCTTCTTTCCCCAGGAGTGTTCAGATGCCAACCTGGCCATCAAGGGTGATCCCTGTGGGAGACTAAAAGGGTAACCTCCAGGGCCAGGTTGAGGCTGGCCAGCCCTGAACCTCAGCTGGGGAGCATGGCAGCCCCCTCGGAGCTCCTGGAGCAGGCTCCTGGGGAGCGGGAAGGGCTTCTCATCGTGAAGGTAGAAGATCCCTCCTGGGAGCAAGAGTCTGTCCAGCAAGCAGACAGCAGGCATGTGGAGGCATGCCGCCAGCGTTTTCGACAGTTCTGTTACAGGGAAGTAGGACGGCCTCATGAGGCCTTCAGCCGCCTCTGGGAGCTGTGCTGCCGCTGGCTGCGACCGGAGCTGCGCACCAAGGAGCAGATCCTGGAGCTGCTGGTGCTCGAGCAGTTCCTGACGGTGCTGCCAGGGCACATCCAGAGCTGGGTGCAGGAACAGTGCCCAGGGAGTGGCGAGGAGGCTGTCGCCTTGGTGGAGGATCTGCAGAAGCAGCCGGTGAAAGCCTGGCTGCAGGTGAGGGGCCCCTCCCGTGTCCAGAGAAGAGTGGGCTGAAGACAAGGGGTCGTCTCCATGGAGACAAGTCTCCAGGACACTCCTGGGCCAGGGGAGACACTGAGCCAGAGGGAGCGTGTGCACAAGCATGAGGTAGCATGGCATGAGGTGCTGAGAGGCGCCCTCCAGGGTACAGGAGGGCTGTTTCATAGAACAAAGTGGACATATTCCATCCAGCAGGGAGGTTTCAGTTCCACATGGGTTATGCTCTAGGCCAGAGGTGTGCACCCCATGCCCAAGCATGAGTAGGAAGGCAGGCAGAGTGGTTCGTGGGCACCCTGATGCCTTGCAGGGTGCTGGGCCCTTCACTGCAGGAGCATTTTGGGGTGATGCTTGAGAGCAGAGGGGTTGTGAGACTCTGTGCTCGGCAGGAGTATTGCCCTCCTCCTTCCTTGCTGAGTGCCTGTGACTCCTGGTCTGTGGGGGAAGGTTCTGCTCAATGCTTGACAATGGCTTGCCGCATGCCCCAGCATCCTGAAAGACGTGTCCTGTGTCTCCTTCCCAGGGGTTAGAATTCTGTCTCCATCTGGTCTCGGTGCTGACCGGCATGTTGTGGTTCCCGCACAGGATGTGCCCTCTGAGGAGGTGGAATCTGAGGTGTTGGGCCAGGGGTCTCGGGACGAGGGGCCTCCTCCGATGGCAGGGGCACAGAACGTGCCCCAGGAGCGGGACAGCTGTGGTGGTGAGTAAGCCTCCATTCTGGCAGGTGCTGGTGGCCAGGCAGGGACCTGGTCCCTTCCCCAGCACTGCTGCAAGGACAATTCTGTTTGGTGAGGCTCGGGCCCTGTGTGCAGCTGCGGGGAGGCTGTGAGGTATGGGTCCTGGGCCTGGGTGGCTTCTCTGAATTGTTCTTTGCCTGTAGCCCAACTTCCTGCGTGTCTCAGAGAGGCGAGTACCAGAGAGAGGACGGATGCCGGCCTGGCCTCTGGGGTCTCTGTGAGTTTCTTTCTGTGACACCGTCACCATCACCACCATCACTACCACCACCACCACCAGCAGCACCATCACCACCGCTGGCCCTGCCTCCTCTGTCTCTGGCCTCCTCCTGGGAGCCCGGAGCAAGGCAGCTCGATCCAGGCCCTCTCATCTTGTTCCAGGGACCTGTGGTGTTGGGAGACATTCCTTTCTATTTCTCTCGGGAGGAATGGGGCTCCCTAGACCCCGCTCAAAGGGATCTCTTCTGGGACATCAAGCGTGAGAACTCCCAGAACGCCACCCTGGGTGAGTATGTGTAGGACTGGGGCCCTGACGCAGTGGGGTGAGGTGAGGCAGCTCGCTTCCCCTTGGGAAATCCCTTAGTCTTCCCTGCTACAAACCCTCAGCCAGTTCCAAAGGGGACTTTCCTGTACAGTTTCTCTTGTGCTGGTGGGGCCAGGGGGGTGTATGTGTAAGGTGTGATGGTGTGGGCACGCTTAAGGGAGTTTTTATCTTTGGTTCTCACTCCTGGTGCGTTGAAGTGTCGTCCCCATTTCACAGATAAGGAAGCTGAGATGAAGAGAGATCAGAGAGGGTCAGGGCTGTAACTGATCAGACATGGTGGGGAGGTTACCTCAGCAGGAGTAGGGGTGCCCATCAAGCCTGGTCTTTGCCACAGGGCCCGCCCCTCGCTCAGGCAGAGCCCTCTCTCAACACGATTAGGAGATCTTTCACTGATATGGGTTGGCCATATCCAGGGCTCCTCCAGGTCCAAATAGGAGGAATGTTCCAGAAATGAGCTCACTGGAGCCTTTGAGGGAATCAGGTCAGCCAACCCTGATGGGTCCCTCTGCAGCCAGCAGGTATCAGGTTGGCCTGGGTGTAGTCAGAGCTGGGGTCTGAGCTAGCTGCAGTGTGAGCCCTTCAGCTTAGACAGACTTGTAGGCGCAGAATTAGCTAGCGTGTGCCTCCCTGAGCAGGGTCAGCTGAGGTGGACTCCAGGAGCCGCCGGGAGTTGCTTGGAATTGCATTTTATCACCATGCTAATGCTCTGCTGGCTCTCTGGGTCCAGGGGTTCTGAACTTGAGGCTGGGGTTCCCCCTTACCCCAGCCTGTGCCGATGGGGCTCAGGACACTGCCCTGCTCTCTCCTTGCAGGTCCAGGGCTCCAGAGGCCCGGCAAGAGGTCGCAGCTAGAGGCAGCTGTGCGGGGCCAGGCGGGTAGCTGCGGGGCTCTGTCCTGGGACTCCGAGGAGGCCGTAGCCTGGGAGAGCGAGAACCGGCCCGGAGTGACGTTGGGCGGGTTGGCGGGGACGCGGCGGCGTCGGCCTCCCACGAGCCGGCTGCAGTTCCAGGACCTGGCGACAGAGAAGCCTCACAGCTGCGGGCAGTGCGGGAAGCGCTTCCGCTGGGGCTCGGACCTGGTGCGGCACCAGCGCACGCACACAGGCGAGAAGCCGCACAAGTGCGCCGAGTGTGACAAGAGCTTCCGCAGCTCCTCGGACCTGGTGCGGCACCAGGGCGTGCACACGGGTGAGAAGCCCTTCTCATGCTCCGCATGCGGCAAGAGTTTCAGCCGCAGTGCCTACCTGGCCGACCACCAGCGCATCCACACGGGCGAAAAGCCCTTTGGCTGCAGCGACTGCGGCAAGAGCTTCTCGCTGCGCTCCTACCTGCTGGACCACCGGCGTGTGCACACCGGCGAGCGGCCCTTCAGCTGCAGCGAATGCGACAAGAGCTTTAAGCAGCGTGCGCACCTCATCACCCACCAGAGCCTGCACGCCAAGATGGCTCAGCCCGTGGGGTGAGCGGCCCTGGGAGGCCCCGCGCCACAGTGCAGCCTGATCCTCCACACAACGGGCCTGTCCATGGACCTGGGGGTCATGGAGGATGACCCCAGGACTGCTCCTGGAGACCCCCCGCACTTCCCTGTAATCTTGCTGCCTCTTCGGCCTTCTCCCTGTGCTTGTTTCCCAGGCCCAAGACAGCTGGAGAGCGTGAGGACCCTATGGGAGCCTCATGCCAGCACTCTTAGCTACTGCTTATGTGCAAGGGCTCCCTGGCCAGGCTCTCAATTCTGCCAGCCTGTGCAGATTGGCCCCGTCTCAGGGGGCTGCCAGACCGATGGCCCCTACCCCTCCAGCTCCAGGTCACAGCCGCTCTCTGTTATGTCCTGGCTGTGAGGGTGTGGGCTGTCTTGTTCTCTGTCCCACATGAGCCTCAGAGCCACCCCTGGCCAGTGCGTGCAGTGGTGGGCTCAACCCTGGAGACGAACAGTTCAATCAAGGCCAGCTGCCATGGGGGCAAGGCTTGTACTTTAACATTAGCACTCCATCTGCTCTTTTGTATTCCAGTCTGCAGGCTGGTTTCCATGAGCAGAGGCCAACTGTAGGCCCTCCACCAGAGGGTGTGGAATAAACAGGGAGACTTGCCTCCCACTGCTGTGTCCTTCCCATCACTGCCATGAGCTCCTGAGGACCCAGAATTGTCTGCCTGGCACCGTGGTCCTATGGACTGGATCCCAAAGAGCGGTGGGAACCCTGGGGCACCGGCTCCTGTGCCCACTTCACTCCCAGGCAGGACTTGGCCCCTGAAATGAGGAAAAGGGACTCAGAGATGTGGCCTTTGGGAGTGGGGACCCCTAGGCTGCTCTCTGTGGATCCAGAGCTACAGTCTGCTGGAGGCCCTGTCCCTGCTCCCCACAGCCTGCCCTCTGGCTGGCCCTGGCTGCTGGTGCTCACAGAGGAAGGGCCCCTGCTTGCCACCTGACTGAGTCCTTCCTGCTTACCTGATGGTGGCCTTCAGGGGCCCTGGCAGACACACAACGTCACTTGGTGCCTGCTCTGTGAGCCAGACCCCTTGCCGCCATCTAACATATTGCATGATCCTTGTCACAGTTCCTGTGGGTCTCCTTTTGTATCTGGCACTGATTTCCCTGGTGGCTTTTTCCCTCCAGGGCTTGGTGCTGACATGTCCATCTGGGTGGGGCTGGGGTTGGGGCAGTGGCAGGGCCAGTACAAGGACTTCTTCGGAGCTGGGGGCTGGCTCCTCAGAGAGCTGCTCAGGTGTAACAAGATCAGATAGGAACGTGGGCTAGGAGCTAAGAATAGGACTTGGCACTGGTTCTTAGCTCAGGGAAAGGCTTGGCCCCAGTCAGGAAGTGACCTGCCAGGCCCAGGACCCAGGGTTCCAGAAGGGGACGAAGTCCAGCTCAGATCATAAAGCAAGCTGATAGCCGTGGCGGCTGGTGGAGGAGGAGGCACAGGAAAGCTCAATGTGCAGAGGAAGCCCCACCTGCCCCCATGGCTTTCCTAGTGGCCGGGACCCTGCAGGCAGCCGCACTACTGGCAGACACTCGCGACAGCTTGGGCAGAAAGGTAGCAGGAAGGACATCCTGGCCCAACCTGCTTCTGACTGCCACCTGAGCCTGGCCTTGCCCTGCCCACCTGTGGCTTTGTCTCCCTCCCCAGGGGAAGTACAGCATGCAGGGCCCGAGGGTGGCCCTGGTACTCAGTAGTCCTGGGGTGTCTGCCGCTACAATCGCTGCCCTGGAGGGTGTGTTCCGGGCCCTGGGCTTTGAAAGCTGCCAGAGGACGGAGGCCTTGGTCCAGGTGAGCCCTCGCTCCTCCCCTCCACCCCAGTCCCTCATTCCCACTGTGGCCTTCAGGTCTCAGCCAGCCTTTACTCTGTACCAGAACTTCCTGCAGCAGCTAGCTTCATTCAGGAAGCACCTGGATGCCCTCGGAGGTCCTGTGGGCTGTGCCCTCGTGGCCTTGGTGGCCCCACGTGGGCAGCTCAGGCAGCCCCAGAGGCTGATCTGGGAGCTGAGCTGTTGTGAGGTCCTCCAGGGCTGTCCCAAAGTCTTCCTGCTGCTTTCAAGTGGCCCTGAGGGTGAGTGGCCAGGGCGGGGTACCTGGCTTTGGGGTGGGCAGAGGGGGGGTGGGGGTCGGCCAGAGCTTCACTGTAGACTGGTGCTTCTCCATCCAGCCGCCCCGGAATCTGGGCCCTTCCTTACCAGCCTCCGGGAGCTCTGTGGCCGCTGTCCTCACTGGTCACTGCTGCAGCTGTTGACAGAGGTGGGGGCATTGGGCCCATTACATTGGTTGGCAGGTGCTTTCCCACCTATTCGCTCTGCCCACGTGGTATCAGCTTCCAAGCCTTGTCCCCCCTCACCCCCTGAGCACCAGCCAGTCTGTGCAGTCCCTCCCAGGCTGTCAATGGTGCCCTCCTTGCCTTCCTTGTGTATACTCTGGCTTCTCTTGCTGCCCACTTCAGCACCCACACTGGCAGTCAACATCTGTAGGACCCACGGTGCTGGGGCAAGGTCTGACAGTCTTGGGGGTGGCTGAGGAGTCCCTAGATGACCGGGAAGTGAGGGGCAGCCCCTCTGACGTGGCCTGGGCTGTACCCTCCCAGCTGTTCTGCAGGGTGACTGATGAGTCTGGGGGGAATGTGTGCTGCCCAGTCTTCCGGAGCTCTTTGAGAGGGGCACTGTGCCTGGGAAGCGAGGAGTCCTGGAGGCCGGAGGTGAGGGGCAAGGTGTGATCCTTCATGTGCCTGCAGCGGCCCACAGGACACAGAAGACGGTGAAGGGCTGAGTCCCCTGAGGCCATGTGGATGAGTCTACGCACCTCTCCATAGGCAGAACCCATTCCCAGTGCTCAGTACGACATGTCCGGGGCCAGAGCTGCCCTCCTCCTGGCTGTGACCCAAGGCCGGCCGGGAGCCGCGCGTGATGTGGAGGCTCTAGGGGGCCTGTGTCGGACCCTGGGCTTCCAGACCACCTTGAGGATAGACCCCACGGTCCAGGTGAGGGGAAGCCCAGAACATGTGGTGGAGGCTCTGAAGGGATGCCCCAGGACGGGGAGGACTGTGGGCAACTTACCCTTCACAGGAAGTGCATTCTTGAGTCTAATCTGCAGTCATTACTGCCCTTCTGCTGTCATGGCCTATATAATCACCTGGGTCTCTTTCCTGGGTCAGAGCTTTCCCTGCAAGGGTCTCCCATCAGCACTTGTCTTCTCCTCGGGCCATGTAACTTCCTTCTGGAGCTTCCCTGACAGACCAAGAGCCCCAGCTCTAGAAGAATGGGCCGACCTCCACATTGCCACAACCCTGCTGGGCTTGCTCCCTGGACTCAGCCTGGCATGTGGAGTCCCAGTGAGTGGGGCTGAGGAAGCCTTCCTGGCCCTCGGCCTGGCCCTCACCCTAACCTCACCCTCACTCTAGGCCTTTTGGGAGGAGCTAGCCCGGTTCCAGGAGCAGCTGGACTCCCACCAGGGCCCTGTGAGTTGTGTGCTTATGGCCCTGATGGCCCATGGTGGGCCACGGGGGCAGCTGCTGGGGGCTGATGAGCAGGAGGTACAGCCAGAGGCGCTAGTGCAGGAGCTGTGCTGCTGCCCGACGCTGCGGAGCTGTCCCAAGATCATCCTGGTTCAGGCGTGCCGTGGGGGTGAGTGGCACTCGGCCTTCTGCTGGTCTCCTCCTGCTCTGGTCAGCTGCCAGCTTTGCTGTTGGGAAATCTTGACCACCTGTCCCTGCCCCATGAACAAAGCCCTAAATCCTCCAGAGTGATGGGCGTGCCCGGCCCCCTCTGCAGGCTGCTGTCCACCTCTCTCTCCTCCTCCCAGGGAACAGGGATGCTGGCAGGAGTTTGAGGGCTCTGCCCTGGTACCGGCGCTGGCTGTGGGCACCCCCCGCCCTCCCCTCCCATGCAGATGTTCTCCAGGTCCATGCTGATGCTCAAGGTGGGTCCCGTCTTGCAGAGCCCAGGCTCAGAAACCTCCGGAGACCATTCCAGGGGTGTCTGCAGAGATGCTGCTGCCGAGACAATGGGAAGGAAAAGCCTTCCTAGAACCCCGGGGCCTCTCTCTGGGAAGGCCTCGTACCAAAGCTGGAGTCAGCAGGGCGAACTGGCTCCCCTGAGCTCTCATGCTTGTCTCGTCTGCCCTGGAGCCAGATGCGGGGCACTGTGGGATGGAGGCGTCCTGGAGGTCACTGTCTGCAGGCGGCTGTCTCAGGGGTCCCACTTCAGGGAGCTGCAGCCAAGCAGACGTGCTGATGGTCTACGCAGCCTCTGAGGGTGAGGACGCAGCCTCTGGCCACAGAGGCAGCTGGGCTTGGGGTGCCAGCTACAATGCAGCCTCCCCCACCCTACATTTGCCCTGGCAGTGATGGTGAGCCCGTGTTCAGTGCTGACTTCTCTAGTGGGCACCTGTTCCCCTAGTCTTGGGAGTCCAGTTGTTGGCACTGACCCAGGACTGCCCCCTCCTCAGCTTCCACCACCAGTCGGCCCTTGGGAACTCTGGAAGGCGAAGGTAGGAGGCCTGGCCTGATCCTGATTCTGGGTCCTTTGGTGTAGGCTGTGTGGCCTATCGGGATGAGAAGGGCTCTGACTTCATCCAGACGCTGGTGGATGTCCTCAGGGCGGACCCCAGGAGAGACCTCCTGGAACTGCTGACTGAGGTGTGTTGGGTGGGGTGTGGGTGGGGCTAGGCTGGCCCTTCTCCCTGGCCCCAGTGTTCTGATGACCCTCCAATGCCTTCCACAGCTGAGACCACCAGGGAAGCAGCGGGGTGGGGGTGGGGGTGAGGGGCGGTCCTTCTCTTGAAGGGAGGGGGAGGGGATTGTGAGGGGCAGAGGAGGGCAGGGAGCAGGTGGGGGAGAATAGAGCAGCCATTGGCGCCTTGGGGCTGAAAGATGTGAAGGCAGCACTTCCACTGGAGGACCTGATGGGCTGGGGCCCCGCAGGTGAACAGGCGCGTGTGTGAGCTGGACGTGCTGGGGCCCGACAGCGACGAGCCGCGCAAGGCCTGCCTGGAGATCCGGAGCTCGCTGCGGGGCCGGCTCTGCCTGCGGGGCTGATGTTAGCGGCTTGCCCCATCCAGCCCGCCTCGCCTGCCTGTGGCCACCTAGGCCGGGTGCTCGGCTGCAATAAACTGTGAATGACCACCGTGGCTCTCGGGGATCTGTGACATAAATGAGATATCGGGATGAAGCACCTGGAACGAAACAGTGGGGAACGAAAGGCAGCCCTGGGGTCCGAGTGGGCGTCGAGGGTCCCAAGGAACACAGCCAGGCGGGGCGAGATGTCCTCACGTCCACGGGGGACCGGGTCATGCCTCTGGTCTCCGCTTCCTCCGGAGACACGGTCGGAGGTCAGCCTGCGCCTCGAAGGCCCCAAAATAGGTTGTTGCAGGTGCCCCGCGGCGGGAGGACCGCCTGGTACTCCAACATGCACGGGAGTTGCGGCCGAGCAGCCCACTCGCGTGGGGAGGAGCTCGGAGCCGCGAGGGGCGGGGCGGTGCTCCAGGCAGGGCATGCGCACTGGAGTAGGAAGCGCAGACGCCTCTAAGAAGGCTTTATAGGAAAAACTGGAATCACCGTTCCTGTAGGGCCGCGTGGCCTAATGGATAAGGCGTCTGATTCCGGATCAGAAGATTGAGGGTTCGAGTCCCTTCGTGGTCGCTGCAGGGTTGTATTTTCGCGGAAAATTTTCTTTCTTGCAAGGCTGTACCTTCTACCACCCGGGCACTCCTCAGTCCCCATACCCGCTCGGTGAACCCTGGGCTATGCGAGTCGGGGTGAGGCAACGAACTCAGAACCCAGCGCTGCAGTCTGGACGGAGCTGTATTGTAAAAAATCCAGCGGATGCTGGCGATGAGGTGATGACGGTTGCCTTAGATGCCCCAGAACCTTTCTTCCTAACTGTATTACCCACAGTTTTAAAAAATGCAAACCGAAATCTAACAGGTGATTTAGACTTCTTGCCATGGGAACGCAACCCTTGAAAGACCGGTAGTTGTGCGTGGGCCCTGAAGCGTTTGCGTGTTTGTTGAACGTGCGTGCTCCGTGGTGAGGGCTCGGCCGGCGTTCCCGCCTCGGGAGCCTCGGAGCAGAGAGAGCCGGGGCTGAGGAGGGCTGAGTGAGGGGGGCTGAGTGAGGGCTGGCTGAGTGAGGGTCACCGAGGAGGGCTGAGTGAGGGCTGAGGAAGGCTGAGTGAGGGACCCGGCTGAGGAGGGCTGAGTGAGGGTCGCGGGTCCCGGCTGAGTGAGGGCTGAGGTGAAGGAGACGGCTACCTGAGGCGGAGCGCGGGCGCAGAGCCGAGGCTGGGGAGAGAACCGCCGCGAAGCAGAGGCGCGGTGAGGACAGCAGCTGAGGAGAGGAAAAGCGGGGTCCCCAGCGGTGAGTGGCGCCTTCCGACTCCGCCGTCGGTCGCGTTTCAGGGGCTCACTAGAGCGAGTCAAGAGGAAAGAAAAGCATTCGCCCAACGTGGGGCTCGAACCCACGACCCTGAGATTAAGAGTCTCATGCTCTACCGACTGAGCTAGCCGGGCGCTGTGGGAGCCTGGAGGTCATGAGGTTAGGGCCCACGGGGCTCTGCCCCCTCGGAATCCGGTGCTCCCCGGGACGCGCTCTGGGGCGCCGGCGGCGGGGAGAGAGCAGAGTGGCCTCCGCTCGCCCACGTCCGCGTCCAGGAGGCCCTGCCGGCGCCGTCAGGAACGTCACCTCTCCGCTGATCCCGGACACGCCGGGGAGCCCGCGCCCTAAGTCGGGAGCCCGGCCGGGCTGAGCGCTCGCGTCAGGCCCAGCCGCTCCTGGGGGGCTGCCCGAGGCGGGGGGCGCGAGCGGGCCCCGTGGCCGGGACCCGGAGGCCTGCTGCCGGGGACCCTGCGCGGGAAGCAGAGTCGTCCACGGCTCCTTCGAGAGCGCCTCTTGTCGGCCCCGGTGGCCTAATGGATAAGGCATTGGCCTCCTAAGCCAGGGATTGTGGGTTCGAGTCCCACTCGGGGTAGAGAGCTAGCGTTTTAGACACTAGCAAAAGTGCACAGGGGGCGGAAGTATGTAACCAAGGCCGGTTCTGTTCCACACTGTGTCGGAACGCTCCACGGTCAGCTTCTGACTGAAGCCAGATGTTGCAAATCTGCTGAACGGCGGCCTCTTTGAGCAAAGCGCTGGGGATGGTATCCCTGTTTTAGTATTATTTTTAAATTTATTTTTATTGGAAAGACACATATACCGAAAGGACAGAAATCTGACGCCCCCAACCCCCAATTCAGGGGCCAGGTCTCCTTGTCAGGGTCCTGAGTTGGGGTCCCTGGGAGAGAACCCCGCACTCTCACAGGCTTACCCGACCCTCCCCGGTGGGCTGCAGCCTCTTGTCACCCGCCACCGGAGCTCGAGCGTCGGGAGCCCGGGGCCGAGGCCGCAGCGCCTGAGGAAAGGGCGAGCGTCCGCAAAGTCAGGCCTGCGGCGCTGCGCCTCTGCAGGGGAGACCGCACTCAGACCACACACTCCGGGGCGGGACCGGAGGCAGAGGGTGGAACCGCCGGTCGGATCTCCAAAGACTTCACAGCAGAACCCGGTCCCGTCGGCTCGTTGGTCTAGGGGTATGATTCTCGCTTTGGGTGCGAGAGGTCCCGGGTTCAAATCCCGGACGAGCCCTTCTGTTTTAATTTCGTGGAGAGTCTCGTGCCAGGCCAGCTCAGGATGCCGGGCGCAACGCATTGAAATCTTGTGATTAGCGCCTGTGGTCCCTGGTCCAACACCTCCACTTTTGCATACAGCCTCATACCAGGGCTCTAGTTTTTCCATTGCTCATTTGCACCAGCTCCTCCCTCGGTTCTTTGTGTGTAACCCAATGTGAGGGTCTGTCCTTGCCTTGTGACTGTGCGGCACCCGTCACCCCTTTGTGGGCTAAGAAACTAATAGCACTTGTAAAGCTGGGCAGGAACAGGAACTGGGCTCGTGGCTAAAAACACCTAGACTAATTGGACTTATCTGTATCCAATTTCCTGGCTAAATTAGGACGGGGTGGGGGTTGGGGAGTACATAAGGAGAGGTGAAGGAGCAGTAAACAGACTTTGGAGAGATTTCTGCCATCACTGGTCTCCTTGGTGCTTCATCCCCAGACCCTCTCCCTGCCCACGTGACTGGCTCGGCTGGCCCGAGCACTGCTCTGCTAGGCTCTGGTGACCGCAGCTGTAACTTCACACGAACTCTCAGAACATCCACAGAACCCAGTTCCTTCTTGAGGGACTGCCAGGGGCCCGCAGCTGGGTGAGGGCAACCACAGGACCCCAGTGGTGGGGAGGGCCTGTGCCCCCAGCACGCCCCGGATGGAATGGGGTGTGCCCAAGCGATATACAGGGCCTCCTGGTTCCGTGGGTGCTCTCCTGGCATGGGGTGGTGAGACCAACACGTGAGATGATTGTCTTTGCAAGGAAGCAATGTCTAGACTGTGGTGTTGGTTAGGGTGGGCCCATAGGAGGAGCCCACAGGGAGCCCCCAGGCCTGCTGCGTTGCCCTGAGAGGCCCTTCGTGACCCTGAGACCCTCCGGGGACAAGCAGGGTCACCAGGCTCCCAGCGAAGCTTTTTCTAAAGTTATCGCAACTGGATATTATTTCTTCAAGATGGTCAACCTATGGGATAGTTTCTGCCAGAGTAAAATTAATGGAGTTTAACTACGATCACAATTACAAATTCTGCACAATGGCTCGTTGGTCTAGGGGTATGATTCTCGCTTAGGGTGCGAGAGGTCCCGGGTTCAAATCCCGGACGAGCCCAATAGGTTATTTTAGGATGTGTGCGTCCGCTTTGTGGTGGTTGGGGCATCCTAAATGACTGGATAGGATTGTGGTTAGATTTTATGTGGTACTTTATAGATTCTTAGGTCCAGTGGTAGTTGTGACGGGCGGTTTGCTGCGTTTGCAGCACCCGGGTATTGAGGTTTTCCCGACGTGCTGTCGGAGGGAGGAGGACGGTGATGACAGAGGACGCACCGTCCCGTTCTCCCACGGTGATTATTGAGATCACTAACAGTACTGAGTTAAAAAGAATGCTCAACATGGAACTCGAACCCACGACCAAGAACCTCATGCTCTATTGATTGAGATAGCCGGGATCCCCACAAGGAGCTGTCCTCCCTCCCCCCCACCTGTTGATCCTCTGTGACTCCATACACGAGTCCTGGGGGACACAGCCATCCCCACGTTCCCCTCCAGACACTCCGGCAGCCTGGCTTGAGGGGCTGCATTCCTTGCGGGCTACCTAAGTAAGAGAAAAGGGCCGGACCCTGCATCAGATTTGGGGCCCTATAGTTCCCAACCGGCTGTTTGGAAGGGAGAGGGGTGCTTAGGAAAAACCCCGGGAGGCCCTCCTGTGAGGTGGGCTCTGCTCCAGCGCCCTAGGGTCAGTCCCCTGCGGCCCGTGGGAGGAGCAGTCCAGGCCAGTGGCCAAAGAAAGGGCTAGGCTAGAGGGCAGCTGCAGCGGTGGCCAAACCAGCCTGGGAGGGCCCACGGGTGTCTGAGAGCCTCGGAGCCTGCAAACCCCTTTCAACCCGGCTCTGGTCGGAGCTCGGGGGTCATCTAGTCCTTCTGACGGAGCTAGCACATGGCTGGGGCAAGCAAGGTCACGGCACACCCAGGCCGGCTTCCTACCCCATCCAGCACCAAGGATCTGCGCTGGCAGATTCTGGGGCTGTTTCACCTTCTGACCCCAGCACCCGCATTTCCCGCGCTCAGCCGCTGGGCAAGGCGCCGGTGAATCCCGTCTCAGAGATGGACTCGAAGTGCTTTTGCCGGCACCAGGCGCTGGGCTTGAAGCGCTGGGATCGGGGACCGGGTGGCTGCTCCACGACCCCAAAGGGCGGTCAAGGCCGATGAATTCAGAGTCCTCCCTGCCTGCCCAGCCCCAGGTTCGGGACGCCGGCAGGCAGGCCCGCCCGGGACAGCCTTTGCAGACCTCCCGCCCCGTGCCCGGGCGATCGCGCAGCCGCACTGCGGCTCCGAACCTGGCGGCGACTTCGGATCGTGCCCACCCTGATTGGCAGGGGCCAGGAGGGTGATTCCTTGGGTCGTTTTAA